AGCACATTTACCTAATGCATGTGCATGCATGAAAATACAAAATGTAATCCCTCAAATAAAAGCTGCTCCAATATTGGCTATGGGCCTGGTAGTGTAATTTCTTTAGTAATATGCTCTTCCTAGCAATACTTTATTCAATACAGATATACAGATAAGAGTTGATAGGAGAACCACATTAGCTCAATTAAAGGAGAAGCTAGTTCCACTGATTGGTGTACCACCTACTGGCTTTAAAGTGTATAGGGTGTACAATAACCAGCAAGAATATGAAATGGAGAGATTAACTGACTCATTAATGGCAATACCTTCTGAATCAAGAGTAATTATTTAATTCTACTCCACTTGATCATAATCCTTATAGTTTGTAGTAAGACTGGGTAGGGCATTACAAGTAGGAGAGTACAGAATTAAATTATTTTTATTACACATTAGCAATACAGAGGTAAAGTATGAAATTTACATCTGCTACAAAAATTAAATGTGACATACTAGATTAGCCAATTTTCCTGACTAAAATATTTCATCATTATAATTTTTTAGTTATTTAATCTGATGATGGAGTCTATTGTTGCTAAGAATACACCAGTGAGAGAATTTAAGAAACAAATTATTGAAGAAGCAAAAGTACAAGGAATTGACTGTGTCCTTGAATTAGACAAGTAAGTTCATCATGTGACTATCATGTGACTTATTGTGTAGAATGAGATTACGTAAGAAGACTTGGAGGTCACCTGGTACAGTGTATCTTGATCATCAGTTGATTGATAAAGATATTCATGTATATGCTGATAGTGAAATGTATGTGGAACCATTGAAAGGTTAGTATGAGAACAGTGAGGGTATTATTTAGTATTTATAGAACCGGAAAAGATGAAGCTCCCAACACAGATGCAGGTATATGTTAGAAGATGGCGTCCATCAGAATGTTCAGTTGATCCAACAGAAGAAATTATACTGGATACAGCTAGTCCCTTAGATCTTAAAAAGAAGGTGAATTTATGATAAATATACATATATGTTGTTATGCCACTATTTTCTTTAGCTTTCAGAGTTAAGTAAAATTCCTGTTGATGCCATTTCTGTTGCAAAGGTAAGCCAATGACATTTTACCATCAGTGAGCCATTTCTCCTTTTAAAGGGCGTGGGATCATTTCCAGCTGAGATATCATGTCTTGATATTGAGAATGAGTTGGAATGGGATCCAGCCATTCAATCAATCAGTCAAACACCATTCTCACTGTACGATGATGGAGGTGTCATTTATTACAAGTATGATAAGCATAAACTCTTAAAATCACTTGCACATACTCCTCTTATCATAATTTCAGAGACAATAAGGAAAAAATAGAACTGTCCAAAATTATTGAATTAACAAATGAAATTACAGCACTAACAAAATTTAAAACTGGAATACTAAAAGAAAGAGATGATTTACAGCAAAGTTTAGCTCAATCATCAGCAGAGAAAACCAAACTAAGTGATCAGTTGAAGGAAATGAAAAAAAAGGCTGCAGCATTAGAGAATAACCTAAAGGTCAGATATGTCACAATTATAATTTATCAATGCATTATTTTGTGCATTGTTTAGTAATTACTTTTAAAATTACATGTAAGCATTAGGTTTATTTATTTGGTCATAATTTTTTGTCTAATATTTATATAATTATTGCCCTTGCCACATTCAGTCTGTTTATAGCAAAACTTTAACTCTGTTTTTAAACTGTTACTGAAAACTGCAAAAGTTTTGGTCCTCAAAAATGAATCGTTATCACTATACATTAGTTTATTTGAGCCATGCTTTCTGACCTAATTTCAATTTCATTGCTGCATAATCAACCATTCCCTATTTTATCTGAATTTTATCTGAATTTTATAGTTAACACAAATAAAACACCAAGAAAATTTGAGCCAAATGTTGGCAGATATTGCCAGTTTGAAAGAATTTAATGAAACTTTGTTGGTCACTCGAGATCAGTTACAGAAAGAAAGAGATCAGAAATTAGCAAAGAGCAATGAATTGGAGAATGAAATTGCAACACTGACAGCAGCTAAAACTGAAATATTAAAAGAAAGAGATGATTTGCAGCAAAGTTTAGCTCATTCATCAGCGGAGAAGACTAAACTGAGTGATCAGATGAGGAAAATAGAAGAGAAAGTCAAGGAATTAGAGAATAGCTGGAAGGTCAGTTATAAGGATGTCACTCTGTTGCATCACAAGCTAGGCAGTGGA